GATACTATCGTGGAACATTAATGGCTTAGCGTCGGTATTCGACAACCAGGACAAATGGAATAATATGATGGAGTACACGGACTACTAGTAGTTTGGATCTCACCCCCCAGACTTCATCTGTTTGCAGGAGACTCACCTTACACTGTGGGACAAACAGCAGAAAATAACGACTCGACTGACAGAAAAATTGCATCGGGCAAAGGAGGTCATTTGGTCTTTGGCGGTCTGCTTGCACTCAGCAGGGGTAGTTGTTCTCCAAAGTAGGCGCTACAGATCAGCACCGAAAGTAAGGATAAAAGGATCATTGTTAGATCAGGAAGAAGGAAGGTGGGTGAAACTGAACTTCCAGTTCCACGAAGAGGGGTCTTCTTTACTGCCCAAATACGGCCCACCAAAGAACACAGACTTTTAAAAAATCGTAGATGAACTAATGGCACAATTTGAAGACCGCCGGGGATTGGAACGCCATACTCAATCCCGGGAAAGATCGTTTGTCAGGGGGAAGAAGGGGCGGGGAGGGACTGATGGGGGAAGAAGCCCTCCCCATCCACACCTCGACGACGGAACGCGATCTGATACACCCTTACCGGATGCACTTTCCGGAAGAAAAACAATTACTTACCACAAAGTTACACAAACGCAATTGGAGTCAACATGTCTCAGCATCCAGGATAGACTACTTTCTGATCTCCCAAGGGCTGGTAGGCACACTACACTTTGTGGTGTAGAGGATCTTCCATACAATCTGGGTTTGGACCATGAACCCATTTCTTTACATCTAATCACTAACAAGCAGATCAGTCGGGGAAAGAGTTTTTATAAAATAAATAATTCTATCCTATAAACCCCCGAAATGAGACAGGCCGCCCTACAAGTTTGCTTGTCCCACGACCTAGAACAGCACTCCTTTCCCGATCTGCTGGTCTCCCTCTCTCAGGCCTCGCCACCTTGGTGAGGGCGGCTTGCCAATTGGCAGTCAAAACGAAAGCAAGAGAGCAGGAATTGCAGCAGGCATTGCGTATTGCGGAACAGAATCTCATAAGACACCCGGGCTCAGAACTATACTCGAGGATCCTAGACGTAGCCAGAATCAAGTTAGCAGATTGGGAGAGGTGGAGAACCCGAGGGCTACGAGAATGGAGGAGGGGTAACAGATGACCAAATTCTTTTTCCACGAAATAAATCAAACGGGAGGAATGCCACAATAGAGCAGCTCGACGGACCGAATGGCCCCACAACAAAGACAGAGGACATGCTCCAAGTGGCCCACGATTTTTACAGCACCCTCTACACTTCCAAAGAGCAAGACTACCTGAGGGATCAGATTGCTCGAGCCAGGACCAAATTTCTTACTTATCTAGACTGCACGGTCCCGGTGGAACAGGTCCAGAGGTTGGAGGAGCCACTATCACAAGAAGAACTCTGGGAGGCTTTGAAGTCTATGCAACCCAACAAGACTCCAGAACTTGACGGTCTCACACGAGAATTTCGGCTGGAGTATTGGCCTATCCTCGCAGGGGAGTACGAAGTCCACCTCAGTAAAGCCTGGCGAAATGAAGGCCTAGGGCAGGACCCAACTATAGGGATCATCACTCCCTCTACAAGAAAGGCAACCCTGCAGATATCAGAAAGTACAAACCTATCACCCTCCTGACTGTAACACACAAAATTGTAGCCAAGGCACTAGCGAACAGGTTAAGAGTGGTTACCCAGGGATGCTTTCACTTGGACCAAACGGTGTTTATTCCAGGACGCTGTGACGCCCCAACCTCACGCCCGGCGCGACTTCTTGATCGGAGTRGGATGTGGGCCTGGAAGTGCGAAAAGGGGTGTGCCAAGGATTTTTGGGAAAGTGGGGGTGGAGTCCCAGGTCAGAACTGAGATCTCCTGTGGCAGAGTTTTCGGGGGTACGGGTGCAATTTGGTTGAGAGGGGGGGCGGACCGCTTCCGGTCATAAAGCAGATGGCATGCRCGGGTCATTCAAGACCATTCGATCCGTCTGTTTTGAGGACGGTGGTTCGACGACAGATCCATCCRGGGTGGGCGTGATTCTGATGAGTCAGGCCGTGGGGCATCGCCACGTGGCGCCGGTCGTCACACGTTCGGGCTAGGCCCTCGGGTTCCCGGGCCTCTCTGATTGCCGCGTCGCCGACAATTTCTGCAGAGTGTGCGGGGCCAGYATGGGGCGATGGCTTTGCACGAGATGACAGTGAGTTGATGATACGGGAGAAGAAGACGGAACGGAGGGAAGTTAGTGGAGGTAACGACGAAACCGGGGGAAATAAAGTAGTGCGTGTGGTCAGACATGGGGAAATCAGGGCACCGTGGATCGCTGATCGTGGCACAATGGAACTCCCTGGGACACAGTCGATTCTCGGTTAAACAGGGGAAACTCTGTCGGTGGTACTCATCAATCCAGGGGGTGAAGTACTTCGGGCCGTATAACGAATCTGAGTCCCTGGAGTGTGTCATTTTGTCATTGCGAAGCCGCGGAATTCCTTAGTGCGTGGTTACTTGGTTGGGGAATTTTCGAGTTTCAATGTTCAGAATTTTTATGCCCGTCCCCGGTATTCGATGGTCGCGATTACCGCGTGTGAGTACGTGTAGACTGCGCGAATTGGATCGCACTTACACGTGTTCATACAGGATGATCGCTTTGCTGCAGACGCCGAATGGCTATCGCACACACCCAATCAGTCACTCTTCCCGCAACCGTTAGCCCGTTCATGCGGGGGTGGTTACGAATCGACACGCGTGGACACGTGTAAGTGTGCAGATCAGATCGCATTTACACGCGTCCCCGCGAGTTTCCGGGCAGCCAGCTACCCATTCACCTAATCATTTTACACACGCAACCATTTCTGATCATGTAAGGTGCTACTAGGCATTCGCGGCAATAACAACGGATCAAAAGGACAGCAATAATAGTGAGAATTACGCGAACCTCCCTATTATCCTCATGAGTGTATCAAGACGGCAATCAACAGCAAAAGATCATGTAGGAGGAAAGGCAAACAGACATTACTTCCATTCATCCATTCATCCATTCATTCAATACAATACATAATATCCGGAATTGAAATCGACAAGAACGAGTGTGGGCCGAAACCAAGTCAGGATTCCGAAAAAGAAAAGAAAAGAACGGGCGAAGCACCCTGAGCCGAGATCAAAATTTATATACAAAACCAAAGAGGCGGAAAAGATAAAAGAAACAGCAAATCCGCGTCCATCAACCTCAGCTCCCTCTTCCTCTCTCTCTCTCTCCGGTGCAGACAGTCCGTCATCGCGCACCGACCCATGAAGTCGTCACCCCGCTTAGTCCTCCCGCACCCATCAGGCTCGTCCACACCCACAATCCGTCGTGGCCCGCGTCAACCCCGCGCGTTACCAGCTCGTTGGGTCGCCCGACTCCCACTTCACTCACCTCTTACTTCGCTCGTGAGCCGACCCTTACTGATCGCGCTACCCCGAGCTTCCAACAACGGGTTAAGAGAGCTATCTAATCGCGCAGCCGGAATTTATAGCGTGCATGCATGCGCGAAGAACACAGAATTACAAGAACTCGGGAGGAGAGAAGGGGGAGGGATTGCCTACGTCTGCATGGCCAGATCGCGACGTGGGGGACGTAGCCACTCTCCACGCATCGATCCGATCATGCAGACCGCGGCTACCAAGACGCAGCAAAAAGAAAGAGAAGAAGGGCGGGAAGGGCGAAGTTCAAGAAGAAAGATACAGTTACAATGGCGCCCGCCCAAATTACAGTTACACACAAGACTAAGGGCGCCGACTAATCAGAACTCCGGCGCAGCCGCAAAAAGAAGCGCGCAGGCGAAAAACAGCGCGCACAAAAAGAAATTTCAATTTCCTAAATTCCAAAGTTCCTATCTAATGCAAAAAGAGGTAAAACGCAAATTCCGAAAGAAAAACCGAATTCCCGAGAGCCGTAGAGGCTCGACAAAATCCAAAAGGAAATTCGAAAGCGAAATTCAAAAGAAGAATCGAAAAGAACGAAGCAAAATTCCCCCGCGTTGTCCGCGCCCAAAAAGTCCGAAACCGAAACAGAAGAAGCGACGCCAACATTTATTAATCGCGCGCATGACAGCGCGCCAGCCATGCAACCAATCAACCAATCGATCGTCCTGGGGCCCGCCCGGGTCTGAACCAGCCATCCGAAAGGAACCGTCGCTAAAAGACGAAGAAGTGAGGACACCGATGCAATTTCCCATCCATCCCAATCTTTCGTAATTGGCCCATCCTTCCCAGCTTAGGACCCCTCGTCGCTACCGTGCAGAAAATCGCGCGGTGCGGAAATCGGTTCGTCACATATGTGACGCCCAGGGGGTTCCAATCTTAAGCAAGCTCCTGCTTGCTTGAGTGTTGACACGTGTCGATTTCTCTAATCGACTGACACGCGGAGCTTCCTGCCTAGCCACTTACCGTGTGAAAGAGTGTGGACGTCATCCGGCGTGGCGTGCAAGCTCTGTCCTACAATTTCCTCAGGAGGGCTCTCATCAATCCAAGGAGAGGATTATTCGTGCCATCGTCATGGCACGCACACCAAACCACCGATCAACAGTGTCCGCCAGGAAGGGGGAAGAGGAGACGGTACATGGGGCCATGGCGAGGGGGAGGGTTTATCGGAAGCGAGGGCAAGAATCGTTCCACTTGGGTTACTATTTCCGGAAGCTCTTGGTAACGAACGATCCGGTGGAAACGGGGGAAACGATTACCAGTGTGAGGGAGAGAGGCGAGATAGTTGGGATACAGGGTAGTAAAGGTGCGGAAGAGTGCCGCGTGAAAATGATCGTGGTTTTCGCATGCGGGGATAGTCCCCGTAATCATGCAATAAACCTCAATCATATTGTGGCCTCGCCCACGGCACTAAGGAGAAGGGTATGGAGGCAGAAATTGGGGAGGGCGCATCGGGTTGAGGGATGGGGGTGGACCGTAACGACGAGGCGGGTAGCGTAGAAGAATCGAAAGCTATTGATGGGGAAAGGGTTATGGGGGAAGGTGACGCGGGTGGTGATTTGGTGGAGGGTGAGGTAATCAAGGGGACGGCGGGATAACGACTGGGGACGAAGCCCGATGCCCCATATCAGTACGGGCTCGAACTGATGGACGGTCAGAGGCGGAGGGGGAGGGTGATCGGCTTCGTCGCCATCTTGCCGGTGCGCTTGAAATCTCGGCAGCTGGGTCCCCATCTTCGGGCTTGGGCGGCTCGAGATCACGGGCCGGATCGTCGACGATCTGCAGGTTGGCTCCGCTGGCAAATTCCAGCTGTCGTTTTTCGACTGCGATCTCCCCTCTTTTACGCACCGCCTCGGGGTCTTCTGCCTGTTGCGCTTCTGTTCGCTCGAGTTCCTCCGCCGAGATCTCCCACTCAGACTCCTCTAATTCCAGCTCGTCTTGCTCTTCTTCTTCTTCTTCACTTTGCTCTCCCTCACTGTGCTCACTGTAACTTCCTTCCTCCGGGGTTTCTTCTTCCTCGTCTTCTTCAACGGCCTTTTCTCCTTCTTCGGCGCTCTCTTCTTCGATCTCTACTTCTTCGTCCTCGGAGGCCGCCCGATCTTGGAAGAAGTCGAGATCGATGATCTCCCGTGGGTCCAGATAATCCCGCTGCGACGGCGGGTTGCGGCTGGTTCCTGGCTCCTCCAGGCACGCCGACCACTGAAGATACGGCGTTAGAGTTCGCGTGAGGACATGCGGAACCGGACTGTCGTCACTCTGCGAGACGATCTCAAGTGGGAGATCGTCTGCTAACTGTGCAAGGGGGACCGTCAGCTCTAAGGTGATCGGCTGGCGATGACTGGGGCACACCGATCCGAACAGGAATCCGAGAAGATCGCCTTCCACGTCGGTCCTCCAAGCTTGAACGATCATCAACTCCAAGTACTCAAACCACTCGCGATGTTCCTCGTCCTTGGTCCATGTGATTCGCACCCCGAACAGGCACACCGATAGGTCGACGAAGTGTTCACGCCAGCGCCTCCACTGCGCGGGATCGAGAAGAGGGACAACGAGCGGCTCCAGATAGAAGGAGAGGCGAGGATGGACACCAGACTGCCAAAAAATGGGAAAGAGAGATGGGAGGGCGAAGGTGGAGAGTTGGGAGCAGTTCATCGGGGACGCTGGAATGGGACGAGTTCCGGCAGCACCACCGCTGGCTCGTGCGGAAACACCCGAATACCGCCGAGTTCGATGTCGTCCGTGGGGAAAAGATTATCTCTGTGGCGCGTAAGCCAATGGTTCCACTTCCTCGACAGTTGCTGCGCCCACTCCCTCAATGACGTCAGGCTGGCCGTATGCTGTAGCGCACTGACCGTAATGATATCGCCGCTGAAGCCGACGACTGTGGACACGTGGCTAATCCCCGAAGTTGGCCGCCGATGGATGGCCACCGCTTCTGCTAGCACGACCGCTTGAGGACTGCCCGCGAATCGGAACTCGGCCGCTGCGTACACCCCCGAAGTGCAGAAGAACTACGCCAGTCGCAGAAGATCCAGATTGAATTGTGGATGACTAACTTGTCGAATCGCGGAGATGTAGCCTCTTGGCGCGAGCAGATGATCACCGAGAGCTCGCTCCGTAAGAAAACTCATGGCGATGGAGGAGGGGACGGAGAAGAGACGGGAGATGCAGGGGAGGAAGAAGGCGATGGAGAGTCATTGTCTGCTTCTGTAGCCAAGGAAGAGGAAGAGGGTGCAGGAGATGGGGAAGAAGGGAGGGGACGTAGGTACGACATGTGGCGAACGATCGGCCGCGCCGATCGGCTTCCCGAGACCTCCGGCACGAGGCGCACGGTGTTCACTCCGTTTGGTCCAAGCTCAATCACTCGGAATCGCCCGAAGAATCGTGGCGCTAGCTTACCTTGGCGAGCACATTTCCTCACCTGCACCAAGTCCCCTAATTTGTACTGGGGTCGCGGACCCGCGTTCTCGTTCCGGGCCTCATAACTACGGATTTGTCGGCCGTGGGCCAACTCGGTCATTTTCTGGCGTTTTCAGGCCAATCGGGGCAGGGACCGTTCCATCAACTCCATGTGCCGCTTGACCTTGTCTCAAACTGTGGCCCTTGTGGGCCATCGGTTCAGTGTTGATTCATCGGGGAGGCTCGGAATCGAAGCGCAAGCGACGCTATTGGTCCTTAATTGAAAGGGGCGTAGGCCCGCCGATTCGTGGGGCGTTCGCGATGGACCGCCAGGATGTGGTCGACGATATCGGGCCAGGGCCTCGGGTCCTGTGCCGCGATGTTTCGTCGTAGCGCTGTCTTTATTACCCTATTCGCATTTTCTACCAGCCCGTTGGATTGTGACATGTGTGGCACGGTATTCCGCACAGCGACGCCGTGTATGACCAGATTCCTCAACACTTCCCCTCTGAATTCCGCCCCGTTGTCAGGATCTCTTCTGTGTCCTGGTGCCTCCCGAGAAAACGGTTAACATACCGCGCGATTTCGGCGGCTTGCCGCGTGCGACACGGGTAGGCCTCGATCCATTTCGAAAAATGGTCGACAAATACCAACAAGACTGAATACTCACAACTATTACGACCAGGAGGTACCATGATATCGGTAGTATCCATACTTACCCTTTGAAGCGGCCGCTCAACTTCCGTTGGTACTACCGATCTCGGCGGCTGGATCGGCGCCTTGTCAGCAGCGCAGACTTGGCAGTTCTGGACGATGAACTTAACATCGTCGTGGATATTGGACCAATACCACTCATTCTTATCGATGGCCGCCTCCGTAATTCGCACGGCGAAGTGGGCTGCAATTTCCTCATGTGTCGTCTTTACCCAGTCGTACCTCATGAACCGATGCGGTACAACCAACCAAATCCCACTGCCGTCTGTTTTCCGCTTTTCTAACCTACCCTCGACCCATCGATAATCCCGAGCCCGTTCGTTGGCCCTCCTTCGGTCTTCCTTAGTGAAGTCCTGAAGGGGGTTACCTACCAGGGTGGCTATTAGAGCGATATTCGTCCAGACTTCTGCCCTTCTAAACTTTCGAGTCTTTTCCAACCCTTCTGACGTGGCGTCGAGGAACTGTGCCTCGGTTGGGATCTTATCGGTTCGGCACAAAGGGCACAACCAGGGTCTATCGCTGCTCCAATACTGGATGCAAGAGCGATGGGCTCGTGCGACACACTGCCGACAATCTACCCAATCGACGTAGCCTTCCCGTTAGGACGCATGAAGACAGAATATACGCGAGAAATCACCTCGCAAAAATAACAAAATTTATCAGCCAGGGAGAGAAGAGATGAGGAGGAGAGGGGAGAAAGAGGGGTTACGAGATTACCTCCGTCACCCATTGCCACCGGTCTGCTTCTTGCCACGTGGGAGAACTGCCACTTGTTCGTACTTAGGCCCGTTCGCCGGCTCTGACTCCTTCCACGGAGTGATTTCCTCGCCCTTAGGTACTTTAGCGGGTCGATGCAGACGTGTCAGTCCGTCCACGTTGCCGTGTCTTTTTGCCTTCCGATGGATGATGTCGAAGTCGTATTCCTGCAAACGTACCGCCCATCGACCAATTATGCCGGTGTAATTAGTGAGCTTCTTCAAGGCCAGCAGGGGCTCATGATCCGTCATGAGGCGGAACTTCTGTCCGTAGAGATACGGATGGAAGTGCTGGATTCCCCAGACTACTGCATAGCATCCGCCTTGTGTTGCTGAGTCATTCCTTCGTTCGTCTGGCACCGTTCGTGACGCGTACTCGATGATGTGTTCGCGACCATCGTTCCCCTTCTGCGCTAGAATGGTGGAGATCGCTTCCGGTTGCCAGTCCGTTATAAGAATGAATTGGTAGGGTCTGGCCGGATCAAAATTGGTGTGGTGGCCAGGGATTCCTTGAGTGTGTCAAAGGCCTGCTCGCACTTAGAGTCCCACTGCAGAGGCTGGTCCTTCCGAAGCAGGTTCGTGAGAGGCCGAGCAATCGCCGCAAAACCTTTAATAAAACGACGGTAGTATGATGCCAGGCCTAAGAAGGCTCGAACCTGCGTCAGCGACGTGGGAACTGGGGCTTCTTTTACGGCCGCAACTTTCCTTGAATCCGGTCGCAGCCCTCCACGTGTCACTACGTACCCCAAGAACAAAATTTCCGAGAGGAAAAATTCGCTCTTCTCAAGTGCAACCTTGAATCCAGCATCCCTTAGTGCTCCCAACGTCCATTCGATGTGCTGCGCATGTCCATGATAGGTCTCCGAGTAGATAAGGATATCATCCATGTACACGATCACGCAGAAGTTGATCATTCCCTGAGTCAGCCGTGTCTTGTTGACGTGATGTCATTCAGTTTGCGATAATCGATGCATATGCGGATCGATCCGTTCTTCATCGGCACCAGTACCAAGGGGAATGACCATGGTCCCGTAGCCGGTTCAATCCACCCATTAGCTTCAAATTCCCTAATTCGTTGCAAGGCTGCCCTTTTGTTAAGTTAGGGAGTATCTATAGGGTTTGCAATGGACCGGGGGATGGTTTCCTGTCTGGATCTTGTGTTGTATGACCAACGATAAGCCGATGTCAGTGTCCGTTACAACTAATCGCTCCCTGATATTCCGTCAGAATGTCCGCAATCAAACGATGAATCTCATCAGGTACGTACTGCGGGACGTGCAATTCATAAGGCTGATCCCAGATCCGTACGTCGATCTGCTTCGTGCGTGCTTGTTTCGCCGCCTCGGGTTGTGGCGCATAGATAAACGAATGGTCCGATCGCCAGGAGAACACCTTGGCCATCATCTGGGCATCTTCCTCCCAGATGGCCACGTGTCCTTCGGGGGTGATACCATTGCAGATATCTTGCCACGATACGGGTTTAGTTGCGATCTTAATTCCGAGCCCATCTGATTCTATCTCGAAATGCCCAGGGGGTTCCAAAGAACTGACCTCCGCCCCCAGGCGTAACAATCGTACTTCTTTTGCGGGTGGCAGCAAAGATCGTGGTAGGCCCGTGATGTCGCAAAAAGATCTCTTGTCGTTGTGTCGTGCGAGAAGAGGGGTTGTTCCTTCGTACAGGGTCTGAGGGGGTTCCAAAGAATCAACCATCCTTGAGATCTGTACGAGGGGTTCACCCAAAATCATTGTCTGGGTCCTTTGTACCCTTCGACTAGTTAGATGCATTGTTCTTGCGATCGTTCTAGGCGGCGGGTAATAAATGCGTTGTCGTGCTAGTTCCAGAATTACCGGATCATTTTCGTCATTGCTATCCACATCCTTTGATAATGGCTCATCGTCTGCGGAGTTTTCCCAAGTGATCATGCGAAGAGTTCCCACTATCATCGGAGAGACTCGCGGGACTGTGTTGGTGGTAGTAAGAAGAGTCAGCCTCATAGGTACAGCATAGGGTTTTCCTCCCGTATTTCGGAGGATAATCGACCGTCGCTCGAAGTCCAGATTTGCTCGTAACGCCACAAGAGCGGGGAGGCCGAAAAGGACATCGTAAGTGTTTACGTCTAACACCACGACATCTCCCAACGCATGCACCTTTCCTAATCGAAAAGCGACATTGGTCATTCGTCCCACTGTTTTGATCTTTTCTTCGTCTGCCAAAACGAGCTGATCCTTTTTCGTAAGCATGATTAGATCGTTTCTCCTGCCCGCCCTATGAACTACCCGTAGCGAAATAGCCAAAACAGCAGCTCCCGAATCGATGATGACATTGTACGGAATTCCCCATATCTCAATGTCGCATTCCGCAGATTTCCAAGGGATGGGTTTAATCCGCAGGAAATGATCGTCTTTCTGGATTAATCCTACCCGTATCGGATCCGAAGCGTCATCTACATTTTCGTCTGGCGTGGGGTTTTTAGCTTTCGCGTTCGCTGTTCGGGCGAAGGGGGATCGCTTTCGGTTCGCCTTGCAGTGCTGTAGCATTCGCTCATTGGCTTGTTCTGAGATCGAGAGCAAATGACCGATCGGAAGTGGAATCCGATGGTCCAAGGCTCGGATGATGTTCAACACGTCGATTTCTCCAGTGACGAAGGTGGGTCCTCCCGACTCCATCTCTCTTGGAGAAGGTCGCCATTCCGCCACTTCTTTTTGTGCCGGCGCAGGTCTGATCGTTCCAATCATTCCAAGCCCCGGATAACCAAGCGATACATACTGGTCTAACGGGATGAGCTCGGCGACCTCTTCCGTGGTGGTTATCGCACTCCCTCCTTCCATTTCGTCCATCAGGGCTCCTACCCGTCCAGGTCCGTTAGCGATGGGAGCCGCTGCCATTGAAGCGACCCCGACCCTCGGTTGTGGGGGTCGATGGGGACAATCTCGAGCTAGATGCCCAGGCTGATGGCATGCATAACAGACTTTCAGATTGCTCGCGGCCCCTCTGAGAACAGGTGCCGGAGCCAATCCTTGTTGGATCGGGGCGGCGCGTACTGCGATGGGCCGCATATTCCTCATCATGGTTTCCAACCGAGCATTATGCTCTCGTTGTTCCTTTTTGCTTTCTTGGATCAGGCTAACTAGTGTTTTGGTCAGTTCTAAAATGGCGGTCGATTCGTTCAACCTTGCAGGGTTCTCAATCGGTGGCGGGGGTGTTGTCATTATAGGTGCTGGCATCACAGGAACGGGGGTGCTCGTGATCACACTCGGGTTCGATCGTTTAGCGGCTATTTGTTCCAGATAGGTAACAGGGCCTGATACGAACCCCATGTTTTCGAACTTATTTGCAACGATGCCAACTCGGCTTTTGCCCTCGCAAGTTCGGACGAGTCTCCTTCCTTAGGATAGTCTTCTCCTTCTACGAAACTCGCCGCGAACTTCCGTTCCATTTCCTCTGCAGCCGCCATAATCTGTTGCAGCATGTGATTGATGGGGAAGAACTGTTTTCGCAGTTTCGCCCTTATTGTTCGACTGCGAAGTCCATCGATAAACAAATCTCTCCCTACTTGCTCGCCCCGCTCAGTTTTCACAAACATTCGGTAGAACCGATTTCGATATTCTGCAATAGACTCGAGAGGTTTTTGAACTCGGTCCTTAATCATGAAGAATGCTTGCTCTGGGTGGACGTAATCAAATCGGTTCAAAAAATCTCGCTCGAAAGTTGGAAGATCCACCCATACATAGGTGCTAAACCAATGATGGGCGTCCCCTCCCAATCGAGCGGGGATGTTCACCTGAGCTTCGTTGTCATCATACTGCTGTGCTCGGAGCGTAGCTAGCCACGCTCCAGCAAGATGATGCGCCGGATCAAATAAATAGAGATCGGGTGGCGTCATGGGGGCCCGTGCTCGTGGTGGGGGTTGATTAGGATTTTGTTGTTGATTAGCATTCTGCTGCGGATTCGGATTCTATAGATTAGCGTTCATGTTGGCTGCCCGTCGATTAGCCGATCTACTTCGGGTGATGACGGGGTCGCGTCTATGCGCGTTCCGGGGTCGAGGTCGCCCTCGGTTAACCAGATCGCTCAATTATCGCGCCGTTAGTCCTTATAACCCGGCCACGTGTCGGGCTCCGATACCAACCTCACGCCCGACGCGACTTCCTGATCGGAGTAGGATGTGGGCCTGGAAGTGCGAAAAGGGGTGTGCCAAGGATTTTTGGGAAAGTGGGGGTGGAGTCCCAGGTCAGAACTGAGATC